CTAGTATTGTTAGCGTGCCTATGTAGGGAAACTTCCGAACGCCCACATTGCACACACATTCCTGGGAGGTACCGAACAGTCGACTAGCGATCAGAAAAATCATCCTGAGAGAGTAGTGGTAAATCAATAAAAAACCCCGTTCGCACAACGCGTCTTTGTATTGGTAAATATTAGATCGTAGATACGAAGAATAAGGATAAACAAAAAGCATCGCAACTGAATGGAAGGTTTCCAATCCATGACAGTCTCCCTAGACCACGGGATACAATTACGCCGAATTGTCAAACTGCTTATACACCTCATTCTAGAGGTCATTCCGTCATGCCGAAAAATTAACAGAATCTGGGCTCCCTTCGTTGCTTGCCGCAGCAATTCGACTTCGGCATTGGTTTGCAACTACTTATGAGTAGCGAAACCACAAAGCGAATATCGACATGACTCGGATGAGGGTGCATCCAAATGGGCTTGGAATGACCCAAGAGTTTACAAGTTGAATAGGTGAATTTCTGAAATAGACAGCTTTCTACGAGACCCTGCTAAGTGCTCGGCATCGCATTCCGTACAAAGCCACATGCAGCTCACCGTGCAAGCAACGTCTAGATAAATCAAATCTAAGACCAGAATGTCGTCACACGTTTTCTGCACTGCGAAAAACAGACTTCAATTCCAAATACATTCCAATGACATTACACATCATGCCCATTGGAACTCGCATTGAACCAGACCTATAAGCACATGTACGGAAGGTCTAATTGATAACAATTTTTGGAAAAACCCAGTGTATCTGAATGAAAGGAGGCCGAACAACTGAGTTCTCCAAATAAGCCTGCCACTTCTCAGTGAAGTTTATCGTAGGTTCTTGTTACATTTCTACCATCTACAATGCGCAACGGCTTAAGGTCCTTTGGAGACGTCATACGTTTTCAAACTCGCGAAGTATAACCATTCTGAAAGAAGAATGAAGAAGGCTGATCGGTTTGTGTAGCACATGGCTGACGCATCATACTTAGTGATGTTTGGTGCTGTTTACGAATGAATTACGATGCTAAGAATTCACTGATGCCTTCCAAAGGAATCAACGGTCATGAGACACCGGTGGTTAAATACACGAAAATAGGACCCACACAGAACGTAGCTCGGAATAACACAGTCCGTACTGAAGCTGTCACACGAAACTCATGAAACCTGATGATAAATACCACAGGTAGAACGAATTGGCAAACGTGATTCGGGTCTTCAAGTGACTTAATCCGACGTCCACCGGAGCTAATGCAACTACGGGGACGTGCGAAGTTCCCCACAACTTTCACTACTCCCCTCAACCAGCAAAGGACATGCTCAGAGATATAGCACCCTGTAGTACTCTGTAGCATTCGGGTACATAGCGAATACCGGAGGGTGTGATGAGACTGTGCATACGTCCTACTTCGTCAAACTGTGGATGGACGTATGTATACTCCAGATTGGCGAGATTCTTGCCAAAAGTGACCAAAGCACCAGGATTCGATCGGCTGTTTGCCTCATGACCTCATCCATCATGAAACTGAACGGGGATGAAGAGAGTAAGTATCTTCGTCTAAAAGAAAACAAAACACGTACCAAAGGAGCAGGTTGGGATTTCAGTCTATTTATTTCGTTGTATGTTATGCGGATGGATTGGTAACCACGGATGTTGACCTAAAATCTCCGCTAATAAACGCGGGTTAGTCTGCGAAACGATGTAACACAGAAATCTGTGTTGCCTGTCCTATCGTACAGCGGCGCTACAAGTTTATTTAAATCACACATGCACAGAGCGCCGATAAAAAACAGTTTGGAGAGGAGAAGCGTCGGCCAATCATCATCATCATCATCATCATCGACAGCATGACTTGTTTGATGATCATAGTGCTTAAATGCTGTCCGAGCAAAACTGTAAACGCTATACATAGAGTTTGAGAAAACAGGGTTCGAAATGTTGTCTACTAGGCCAGAACGCTTCCACGAAAAGAAGTCCCGTTTGCAGTGGAAGAACTAAGAAACCCCAGAATAGTGGAAGCTAGCTTGCCGTCAGACATACATTGCATATCCTGAGTCGCATTAGACACAATCTCAAACCCAGGCCTTCTTCATACTGCAGCCGCTGGACTCCGGTATCACTTAGAACCTTGAACTCGAATGCAGAAAGAGTTTACCCAGATACCCCATGGATAACTATGACAACACAGATGTAACCACGAAGAAGTGAGTTTTCCAGAAACCCTTTCAGCTCCAGAAGAGTTCTTTTTTTCCGGTTAAATAAACTACCTCCCAATGGTTTTGAGTATGACAGATATACCCGCCTCAAACACTGAAGCATTGATAAACTACGAAAAACACTTTCATTATTCGTAGTTGGTAGTATTAGCTTCTGATATATGGTGTATGACTCTATTAACCACCTTGACCAAGCATACTCCTAGTGCAAGCAGCGTGAAGCAAAACAGTAATACCCTAGTAATCCTGAATTCCGAAAAGTTTTGCGTGACCTTAGCCGCGTCTATGAGCTACTTTTTTCCAGTACACTTAGTAAAGTAGGAGCGAGTTATGCACCATAATCGACATCTGTCACTGCAGTGTCTTTCAATGGTCAATCCACTGACGTACCTCGGCCAGCGGGTGAGAAAGTGGACCAGTGGTGTGGCGGGTTAAATCACAGTGCAGTGGCTCTCACCTCCGGCTTTCGACTTTGGGTTGCAGCATTTATAATAAGGCCACTTATCAGGTTGATAAGTATGCTAAAAATAATGCGTGACTGTGCAAATCAGGCCCGCTAAGGAAGGCATTTCTGAAGGGAGGCCAATTCACTGGCGGATTCGTAACATTTTACGTCAGCCAGGGCCTAGAATATAAATCTTCAAGACAGGCGGCTAACCCTCATGTAACTCCAGGTACTCCTTCCTCTGTGGTGCTCCCTCTCTCGCCAGGAACATCATCATCATCATCGACAGCATGACATTAGTGTTCAACATCGATTATTCGCTCCCCGTAAGGTCTAAAGAGCAGTCGGTTACGGAAGAGACCATATTTTGAAAATAAGTCAAACCTCCTCCCTCTGAGTGAAATGACGGTATCTACAATCTTGCAAAACTACGAAAAAGCTGGACCGTGGTCACTAGTGAGTCACGAGACCGATGGCAGTAAATTCAACCACTATAGGACAGCACTTCTACAGAGCATGTTGATATAAAACAAAATAAATACGGATCATCATCGACGCATGACATTAGTGTGCAACATCGATTATTCGCTCCCCGTAAGGTCTAAGGAGCAGTCGGTTACGGAAGAGACCATATTTTGAAAATAAGTCAAACCTCCTCCCTCTGAGTAAAATGACGGTATCTACAATCTTGCAAAACTACGAAAAAGCTGGACCGTGGTCACTAGTGAGTCACGAGACCGATGGCAGTAAATTCAACCACTATAGGACAGCACTTCTACAGAGCATGTTGATATAAAACAAAATAAATACGGATTTACAAAAAACATGAAAGTCAACCATAGATGATAACAAAGCATCAGCTTACCAGGACAAGAAGGAATCGATCCAAAGGTACCACCCGCAAACCAATACACAATTCACACAACGCCGGAAGACACTGAAAAAGCAAAAGAGCGCTAAGGGTGAAGAAAACTATTCTTTCAACCACTCTACGTCGTGGAGTGAACTCGTAGAAACAATTAACCTCTTACGTGATTGTACTGAGCATTCTAACACAACTACCCTTACCCCCCAATAGTACAAAGAAAATCTACCAGCGTTATACTTCAAACGGTCTAAATTCAGTGCAGAACTCTACAGTCAGGATGATGGGATATCGATGAGTACACCAGTGGGTCTCCTGCTAGCTGAAGCAAGCTCTGTGAGCCTATTCCCGTGCATCATCTAAATCCTTCCTTGATCGAAAAACAACGCACACAACTGACCATGCAGCAAGTATACTCTTGCGGGCTAGGTGGAGAGGATTGTCAATTTTAGGTATCGTGAGTTTCAAAGTCGAGCGGTGCAAAGTACCACTTAGAGTGAGGACGAAGGGTCGGCTACAATTCCTGTTCATCAGGCTTGAGTAATATGATACCTAAAGCAAAATAAAAAGGAAAATGTTTGTCACTAGCGGGTACGACTGAGGTACATCGAAGTGGTAAAACCGATTAGACATTGAGTGAAGAAGGCTGACAATGGGGTAAAATCTTGTACTAAATTAAGTATGACTCCTTCCGAGGAGTAAGAGCAAAGTGCTGAGGTCCGTGGAAATACAGAGAGAAAAATGGTGGGCAAGCTAAACTGCATAAGTAAGGAAACGAGGAACTAAAAACTACTGGGGGACAAAGCAGCCAAATGAGTACCTTTTTTCTTGACCAAGTACTATCTCCAATGTATGAGGCCAATCGAAATTAATGCTACGTAGAATGAAAACAGTGCCCTTGGTAGCAAGGTACGGGCACTAAATCTGTGGACACGATGCTGGATCCTTTGAAAAAACCTAATATGGCCCTGTACACGAAGGAATCCAAATTCTGGCAAACCTGAATATAGTTAAGATTCTTCTACAATGAAGCCATACAAACAGCCAACCATTAAAGCTTTTCCGAATCTACCGATTAGAATAGACCGTCTGAAAAAGTAAGTCAGTCGAAACACTGCTTTGTTTCGGAACAATATCAATAGCACTGAGCCTGTGTTTGTCATCAGGCGACGAAGTAGTGAAAGGACAATGAAAGGACATTTTCTAGGGGACTCTTATAGTAAAACGGATGACGAAAGGTTACAATCGACTGCACTTACTTGACGGCTGACTTCGGTAGCATTCCGTGGGCGGCGACATAGCGCAATAAGACGCTAGAAGGTAAACATCAAACGTGTTCAGTCATTAAGTCGCAATTTCTCACATTTATTCGCTATCTTTCAAAGAGGAACGAGCGACAAATCCAAAGGTTTTCACCACTTTTGGTCCAAATGAATGCGGAATATGGGCTCGTCACAAATGGTAGAATCAGTATGCAGCCGCACCTGAATTCTATAACATCCCGCAATCAGCTACAACTAACAATTGATGAGGTCGACGAAACGCGACTACCGTATGACGGCGGCTCATTGCCTCTGAAAAAAATCTTTCAGCCATAACACCCTTCCAGTGCCTAGCTGCCATGCTACCCGAATGAAGCACGAAGGCTAGGATACTCTCAGGTTGCCCAAGCCTAGACAGAGGAAGTCGAGAGGCAGAGGTCGGGTTCGAACCACGGACCTTCCGGTCAGTAAATTCGCGCTCCAGCCACTTGAGCCATCTCGCCCCCATAGCCCCTGAAGTCACTAAGTGTGCCCTCGATTGCTGTCAATGGACGACACTTTACGACGATCAGTGATACAGTTCAGAGCTGTCAGTCCATGTTACTTTCACAAGAGCAGCTAAAACTTATAAGCACCTGTGTTTGGAGGAAAGACTTGCTAGACCTTTCAGTGCCTAGTGCACCGGATACGTTCATATACATTATTAAATCAAAAATTCCCACCTATTTTATCCAGGGTTATCAGTGATTCACGCGCACGGACACGAGGCACGACTATTTTAGTAAATGTGTTAAAAGCTGGATATGTGGAAGCTGAATATGTGCATTTCGGTACTTTAAAAAGATAACCTAATCAAGTAGTACCAAGTACGACGATTGTAAGGCCGTAATACACAGGGTTAACTCTGCCAGTTTGTAACTACTCCTTCCATACCAGTGGTTTCGCATAAAAATCCACCGTGAAAAAAAGTTCAGCTGTAGCACCCTTCCAGTGCCTAGCTGCCATGCCACCTGAAGGAAGCACGAGGGCTGGAATCACGCCAGGTTGCCCAAGCCTAGACAGGGAAAGTCGAGAGGCGGAGGTCGGGTTCGAACCACGGACCTTCCGGTCAGTAAATTCGCGCTCCAGCCACTTGAGCCCATCTCGCCCCATAGCCCCTGAAGTCACTAAGTGTGCCCTCGATTGCTGTCAATGGACGACACTTTACGACGATCAGTGATACAGTTCAGAGCTGTCAGTCCATGTTACTTTCACAAGAGCAGCTAAAACTTATAAGCACCTGTGTTTGGAGGAAAGACTTGCTAGACCTTTCAGTGCCTAGTGCACCGGATACGTTCATATACATTATTAAATCGAAAATTCTCACCTATTTTATCCAGGGTTATCAGTGATTCACGCGCACGGACACGAGGCACGACTATTTTAGTAAATGTGTTAAAAGCTGGATATGTGGAAGCTGAATATGTGCATTTCGGTACTTTAAAAAGATAACCTAATCAAGTAGTACCAAGTACGACGATTGTAAGGCCGTAATACACAGGGTTAACTCTGCCAGTTTGTAACTACTCCTTCCATACCAGTGGTTTCGCATAAAAATCCACCGTGAAAAAAAGTTCAGCTGTAGCACCCTTCCAGTGCCTAGCTGCCATGCCACCTGAAGGAAGCACGAGGGCTGGAATCACGCCAGGTTGCCCAAGCCTAGACAGGGAAAGTCGAGAGGCGGAGGTCGGGTTCGAACCACGGACCTTCCGGTCAGTGAATTGAATTCGCGCCGGCTTGGGCCATCTCACCCCCAGTCCACTGTGATTACCTTTCACGCAATTTATTTGGCCATCTCAATTTATATGGAGTTCAGATACCTCCTAAAGATACGAAGGTGAGTGTAATGGTACAGTGGAGGAATGCGCATATGACTTGTGCACATTTCAGCATTAAACCAAGCCGATGTATTCCGTTCGCGATGAGACCAAATAGAAGCACATTATGACCACGACATGCCTTCTGATCAGTCCGAACACTCGACGACGCGTTGTAATTCACTTGATAACAAGTTATCTTTCGATTGCACGCTGGAATGTAGAGCAGAAACTTGGAGAGAAGCAAGCCTGGAGGAGGTGCTACAATCCTGAGAAGGAAAAAGTCTGATCCAAATCAGTGACACATTTCGGGAGCATGTTTTTGGGGTGCAAAAATTACACAAACCTCTTACTTGCATAAAAGCGGAAGACAAAGGGAAGTCTGAAAAACATCAGCTGATTCTGTTGCACTGTCATTCCTCATTTTCATCACGATCGACATGTAACAAATTACTTGAGGACACGACCACTAAACAGTAGTTGGAAAAATGACAATCGTCGTGTAGACGTTGAGCACCACGCTTGACACCATATTTTATATATATATATATATATAGGCACTGAACGGTTTTTACAGACAATGGTGAGTCCTGATTAACGCACGGATACGCACCAGAGGAATAAATTACCACGAGCAGCAATTTGGGACCAAGTTGCTTCACCGTCTGGAATGCAGAAGGGAAGGTAATAAAATGGTCCGTTAGTACAGGAAAACGAAATAGCCTTTTCTGACCACGGTCTCAATTTTAATTGAATCATGGTTGATTTTTGGTATTTTTCCAAAGGTATTTCCTCTAGACGACCGGCATGCCCATGTTTGAAGAGGCAGCGATACTGTCCAGGAAACAAGGAAACACGGATTAGAGAGGATCGATTACATTTTACGACTATCAGCAAATTATTCAATACGGTCAAAATAGAAAATATCACAAGCCCGATGCGGTTCCAAACGTAGCTGCAATGCACAGTGGCGATAGAAGCGAGACATATAGGACGAAGGTTCAACTTAGAATGCCACAACTGTAACTCCTTTCTCGGTCTGAGCGACCGGGAAGTCTCACCTGGTCTTACAGTTCAGTGTTCACCGAGGTCCCCCAAAAATTCCTTTCAACTTTACACACAACCATCGCCGAAGCATTTGATTGTCAGCTACCTGAACGACATGCCTTATACAACCCATTAAAATTAACCAGACTAACAATTGTATATTTGCGAGACCTCGTCTACTTAAGAGTGGGTCAAGCAGGCAAATAGGCGATACACGATCCGACCTAATAAGTCCCTAAAGTTTGCGTATGCTGCGTCACAGTAATACGTGTGAGGGGCTCAAGTTTGGTCATTCATCTTAAAACACCCACTACGAACTCGGTTTCTATTTTTACTGTCCATAGTCTGAAGACAGAAGCAAGGGATAGTGGTATATACGATATGGGAGTTGTATCCTGTTGCACGGCTGATTTCGCCTTGATGGATTGAATTTTAGCGTTCGGTTATTGTTGTGGCTTGTGGAACAGTGGTTCAGTTCTGTGTCGGCTGTTGGTTTCTTGTTCCGCCCACTATGGTATATCAAAAGGCACGGTAACTTCAGACAGCCCTTTATGGAGACAAATGAAGATTATTACAACCATATTTATGGGGTGATCACAGAATTTTCCACAAAATCGTGCTAGGATCTTCATGAGGGGGCGAGAAGCGCCAAGCTATAGGTGCTCAATTCAGAATGGCTGACGTTCTGGCCAATCAAGGCATGTCACTGTCAACGGGCATGATGTTCGGATATTAGGAGCAGCTGGCCTCCGGACACCTCTCCCTTGAGGACGCTGTTGTCTGAAGTTGGTTCCCTTGACGTTTAGTTTGCGCCTCCGTGCTTCAAGTAGTATTCGACCCTGCGTCCACCGTCACAGAATTCCCCATATCCTCGAATCAGTATCTGTATGACTTTTGAGGTCTCCCTTCTGCTTGTGCTTCTCTCTTGACTTTCCAGATAGAAAATGGAAAGATCCTCCTGGACTTCATTGTAGACTGAAGGGTTCGGACCTGGGATACAACGTTACAGGCTGCTGATTTGCCAAAATAGACTGAAAGGAGAGGGTTACCGATGCCGGGCACCAGGAGCTGAATAGCTGCTGCGTCGCGTGTGCTCCCTCTGGTCTCCTGTTTGGCTGCAACTGTGGTGACGATAAGATTGTCAGGATGTGTTCTCGTGAACGTATTGCAGTAGTTCTTGTATAGTTCATGAGGTAGCAAGAACAATTGGGCTGAATCCCCTTGGACGTTACGAAAGAGTTAAGCTTTCCGGTCAGTTTGAGGCTTCCACCAGACGCATCATGAACGATTAACTTTGTGCGTGCTAATGGTGGCCTTCCAAATACGTCCCAAGTTTGTTTTGAAATCAATGTGGGATCAGAACTTGTATCGGGTTGGAGGGTAACTGGTGTGCGATTGACACATACTGCAACGAATTTCCGTCGACCGGGTGATTCCATCCTGAATGTAGCGGTCATGGCCTCTGCCTTCGTCCTTCTGTCGGGTCGCTGTTTGCGCAAGCTCTTGAAGCTGTCTCTGCAGCACTCCTCTTTGTGACCCTTTTGACTGCACATGATGTGCCTGCGGTTCCAGTAGGGACAGTGGAGCGAATAGTGCCATTCGCCACAAAACCGACAGGGCGGTTTTCTTTGGGGTTCGTTTACAATTTGATTGATTTTGACAGTTATATCCAGCTCAAGCAAGCTTAATGCCACTAGACATAAAAATCAATGCCAGTCTGTGGAGTTAGTTTATGTCCCTACGGACAGCAATTATGGACTGACTCTTCAAGCAAGAAGCGTACACATTGTCATCCCTGCAGGTAATATGAACGCACAAGTCCTGTGGAATCCCATCTAGGGAGATGATTCGGAGTCGACCTTCGGCGGACGGTTTGCATCTGCTCACCTTTAAAGAAGGCGAAGAATCCCAGAAAACCTAGTTGACAAGACTTACTGGTTCAATGTGGAGTGAAGAAAAAGTATCTGTAATATGGAGCTCATCAACACCATCCTTACATTCGAAAGGGTCACGCGAACCATGTTTGAAAACCTCGGTATCCAAGGTGCTTTTCGATCGTATCCTATTCCGGTTTTGCAGAAGGATGCGTACACAAGGTAGTATGGAATAGCAGCACTGCTTCCACCAAACATCATTGACTTGAAAACTGCCTTCGACTCCATAGATGACCAGGCACTGCAGCAGTGTTTGTGGAACAAAAGTGCCCCCCACAAAAATCTTCACCATTCCTAAAGCGTTGTACACCAACTTTCTCGGACGCGTACAGGTTCACCTTAAAGTCTCGCCTGAGTTCGGTACATCCAGTGTTGTCAGACAAAGCTGTACTTTGCTGCCAGTGGTTTCAGAATCCTTCTAGGATGCTCGCCCACAGACATCGAGTAAGCATAAGGCATAGCTCTTGTTGAACCTGAGTCGATCGAAACATGGAAATCAGTTTAGATAAAGGCCGTTTCAGAGTATAAAAAAACTAGCTAAATTTCCGTGTGCCATTGGTTCTAGCTGCTACAGTTTCGATCACCGGAAAACGGGAAAGTGGAAAATACAACCAAGCCTTGGAGGCGAGGGCATGTTCAGTTTGTTCGCAAATTGGGTAGCTACGCATTGATGGCGATGGCTTTGATGCACGAGCACCACTGACTGAACCATTTCCGCTAATGTCATTAACTATTGGTGATTTGAGCCCCGGGGTCCCATCCAGGGAGACGGCAGTTGCCCACCCAACTAAGTTTATAGGTTAGTGTTTTCGTACTTCGTTGCCAGGTCAGACACTGTCCACCTCTCGGTCGCTTTCACTCAGCACAGGGCTGGGAGAAAAGACGTCCGTGAGGCAGACGGTATTCAGGCCTGCGAAATACATGTCCCAACCAGTGCAACCTATGATTAGTTCACTTATCGCGGGAGAGTTCCTTCTTCCCAAGACCATCTGGTTTGCCTAAGCATTACTAATCCGATGTTCCCACCAGACCTGACTAATGCTGCGGAGACACCGATGATCATACGCTGACATCTTCCGTATGTCCTCTGCGCGTAGGGGCCATAAAGCACCACCGCAGTGTAAACTCTTCCCTTGATAGACAAGCTCACGTCACGTCGGCGCCATAAATGTCGGAGATTGGTAAAAGCTGCCCTGGCCTTTCCTATTCGAAAAAAATGATCTCATCTCCAGCCAGTCCACCGGGTCTTACCAGGTAAACAAATTTACCTACCACATTGATCCTTCCTGTACATGGTTGGAGATGCTGCAAGCTATGGCTGGTAATCAATGTCAATGGCGTTCTTGTCCCTTTCCTCTACAAGAAACGTCACGATCAACACAGCTCGTATACTGATTTTCAAGTCAATCGTGAATAAATTCTTAAACCCTGGATTTTAAACACAGGCAATTCACTAACCGGTGGAACCGGTAAACTTTAGACGAAGCTATCTCAAAAAAAGAGAAAGAACTGTTCGATTATTAGATAATTACAACCCACTAAGTGCCTATATTGCCTACAAACTAAGTCTTCGGAGGCGCATCAGCACATGCTTCGGTGTCATCAAACAGGACGAAGGACTAAACGACTGTTTCGCTAGCAGGCAACACAGTTTTCGGCTGTCGAAAGAGATGAGACACAACGATGGTTTAAAACGTCAACTTTGAAGAACCTGGTGTTCTGCGTATGATACGCCGAATGAAATGGAACCAATCACATCTTTTGAACGATTATCTGTACCTGAACGAAGAGTGATTACCATGATTCTGAATAGCTTCGGGTGAGACAAGCCAATCGACCGATTCTACCAGCTAGGTCATCAAGCTTGCTCTATTCATTTTGTGGGGTTTGCGGGATGTGTATTGTTCATATTCACATCACTCTCGTTTGACCAGTCGTCCTCCTGTCTTGGCGTGATTATTCTGGCGAATCCATACCAATGGGATGGAAGCACTGGATTCGAGTTTCGCTCTTATTAGAGCTCATCAGCGGTGCACATCCAATGGCCGTGCCGGGGTTTGAACTCCGGACACCTGACATACGAGGCCAGCGTGTTACCCCTATTCCACCAACGCACGTTGGACGCATCTGAATTTTCACGTCTGAACGGGCGAACGTGTTCACGCTGGAGCCAGGACAAAAGGACGATTGTTCAAACAAGAATGATGTGAATGTGAACTTAGTCTATTCGATGAATCCAACAGACAAGATCGAACTGTACAGAAAAGATACGGGCCGAATGTTATGGACATCCTTGTGGGTCAACGTGTTTCGAACCGTCAGATTTTTGAGTCGATATTGGAAAGTCGTCAGGTACCTATTCCTGACTCAATGAATCTTTTCTCTCAAGAAATGCTATTTTTCCACAAGTCACGGTGGGCTACAATTTTGGACTGTTTGAGGACCACTTACTCCAACACCAAATAGAATCTGCTTATCGTTGGATAAGTTGTCAGACAGAAACTATGATGAGAGATCAACTGCAAGGAAGACATGAGACGAGAAACTGCACTGGTGTATTCACTATTATGCCCTGTTATATTTATTTATATTCATTTCCCTGCACGACAGTCCTGCAAAGACGTTGACAAACTATCCAAATAACTAACAATTTTGATAGGTGTTAGGAGGTTATGCGAACCTATGCAAATCAGACAACATAGTCTATCACACAAGTGTCCTTCAGTTTGCCTCTCGCTGGAGTGTCTGACACATGGGTGTGCTACCAATGGCGACACATGGATGCCTCAACTTAATTTCGCCTCCCTCCATCTGACAGCACACCTCCAAAACCACCATGATTTTGGTTGACCCCCGCAGTATGCACTGAACAGGCTGTTTGGTGTAACGATATAGCAAAACATCCTTAGGGGAGTGGAACACAGTAAACTGCCAGACGCGTTTGAACCGCCGTAGGAATGTGCGAACGCCTTATATGTAATTTATGGCAAACATAGCTGTTCCCGGGGGCCACCTTAAAAATTATACATTCAGCAGTAACCTGTGAGCGACCGGTGCTTCTTTGATAAAAACAACTTCACACAGATGATCTTGAAAGAAAAACTCACCACATAATTGTGTGAACTCCTCCAGTACCAAATGAGGTAGCTGCGACAAAATTGTTCTCTTGTCCACCAATTCTCCAGCTTGGAATCCGCAACCAGGTCCTGACATATTCGGACTGGCCCGTTGTCGTAGGTGAACAAGGAATTCAGGCAAACGACTAGCTATTAGACGAGGTAGATCTGTCAAACTCGCCCGGCCGCAACGTTCGCACATGGTACGGATTTGCTCGGCTAGGAAATTCTTCATTGCGCTTGACTCGTCCAGATCTGTGAACAAAATATGATGGTATCGGCTGACAAGCATCCTCTTTAAAAAGTGTGTCGGATCGCAAAATACGGGACTAGAGTAGCGTCCCGATTCTGTATGCATTAAATTTATTGATGTTGAGACTAAATTTATTCGCAATAAGTGTCGTGAACACCAAAGATGTCATGGCACCGCACAACCCGTAGGAAGCACCAGAGCAGCGTCAAGCCCACATGATCGAATCCAGAAATGCACTGGAATCATGGATCTTCCGATGAGATTTCGCGCTAACCTCAGAAACTTGGTGAGCAGTCAACCTAAGCTCGATAAAAAAAACATAACGCTCAGCATTGTGTGAATAACATAGCAAGCGAATTATTGGAACCACATGCGGTTTTCATGAGCTGCGCAAGCCGCAAGAATGCACAAAATACAGCAATGCCGGTAGGGTGTCAGATCAGCTTAGTTGGATGAATAAAAAAGACAAGCACAGCAAAGTAGCTAATCAAATGTGAGCGAAAAAGCAGGTAAAAATGGATTTCTACAGCCAACCTAAGCCGATAAAAAAAACATAACGCTCAGCATTGTGTGAATAACATAGCAAGCGAAATATTGGAACCACATGCGGTTTTCATGAGCTGCGCAAGCCGCAAGAATGCACAAAATACAGCAATGCCGGTAGGGTGTCAGATCAGCTTAGTTGGATGAATAAAAAAGACAAGCACAGCAAAGTAGCTAATCAAATGTGAGCGAAAAAGCAGGTAAAAATGGATTTCTACAGCGAGATCAGATTGATACACGGACCCCAGATGAGTGGACAGGGATAGGGAAATCGTTTAACACAGAAACTAGACATGGAAGTTTTGATTTAGTAACCACAACTAGTATATGAAGCTCACACAGGATAAACGTGAAGCGACACCTAAATTGTCAGGGTGAAGGAAGCTACAAACAGATATATGAGGGCCTCGTTTAATAGACTGTGGCGCGTTACTCACCGAACGCGTAGTAGATCTGAAGGAGACTGAAAATGATGAATCGATTGAGTTCGACATATTCGGTCATCAGGAAAGGGTAGCCAGAGATGGTGTTGGACAGTGCACTGCCTACTGATGGTGATACTTCACAGGGTGGCGGTGCATTGCAGTTGGGCGGCACCGGAAGTCTGCAACCTGAAAGAAAACCGCGCCCGGCACCCGGATAACCGGGCACTCCCAAGGTACCTGTTAAGGCTCCAGTGGCACAGGAGACCGTCAGGTTCGGTGCGGCGCTTGTTTGGGTCGTAGTCGTAGAAGCAGCAGCCGCCACCTGAGCAGCAGCTTGTGCCTGGGCCAAAGAAGCAGGAGAGATGGCTGATGATAAACCGTAGATTACGCAGTCAGGGGACTGGAGACAGCGGGCGAGTTTGACAATTGTCCACTCCAACCTAAGGGAAAAGACAAGAACGAGGAAACAAAGCAATGACGAGTACACGCAAAAGAATGGAAGACAAGGACTTGAATGCTGTAGGATCTAAAAGCGTAGGATAGTGTGAAGTACATTAGACCTTTTAATTGTGAAAAAACAAATCCACTTGTCACCTATACAGCGCTTATGCGCCGTACCAGCTCTTTGAAATGAAAAGACATGATCATTATCTTCACTATAGAAAAATGAGTCGTAACATCGAATGGTGATTCAGAAATAATGGTGTTCCGAATTCATCGGATGATGGAGGAGGATAGCGAAAAATATCAAGCAACCAGTGCAGTAAAGAACGAGTCCTCTGGCGGCTGTCCAAGCCGTCTGTAGGACTGATCGACCGAAGCAGAAATCGCCAAAAGACCAAGTGGAGATACGGAACAGTCAGTAGGATTTTGGATCGAACGTGCTACAGCATTCTTGATCCTAGTAATTCCAGTACCGGGTTAACGTCAATAAAATACCGGTAGCCAATATTCAGCAACGACCAGATATTTATTCTGACAAAATAAACTTGCTTGGTTACAAAACAGCGGCTCGAGATAGATCACGATAACGGGATACTGACTAGGTTTGTAGGTAGAATCCTGTCTGAACTCCGGTAGCCTGATGTACCTCAGCCCTTGCGCCTCCTGTCGAGTGCATTGCGGTCATGCTCCAAAATAACGCCAGAGATCAATGTTTGAGCTGTTGAATCTGACCGTACAACGGCGCATCATTAATAGTGACCTGGTGTTACTTTTTACAGTGACCATATTAATGACAATGATGATGCAAATGGTCAGTGCTTTGTGAAAGGGGGATAACCAACTACTTGCGACAATAAGATATTCACGGAAAATTTCCGTGCCTCTGCTTCTAAAGAAGGAGCCTGCTGCTTCACTTACACCATCCGTCAACCTGGTATTTATGTACCAGGTGGCTCGAACAATCAGATTCATGAACCGAAGAAAGGATGATTTTGTGGGATTCTCGATTGGAGCAGAGAAACGCTTATGTTTCAAACAGTCGTACTGCACACTGCTCACTACTGTAAACGGTCTACAACTAAGCTAAAGTGACTTCACTTACAGGACGAAAGGTCGATGGGAAATATCCCCTTATTGGAAACAAACCGTGAGGTCTAAACGAAGAATAATTCGCACGTGAACATTCCATCCGAGAACCTGTCATTTGAGGATTGACACAAGAATACGTGATGCGCCTCCCGTGATTGAAACCTGAGTGGTGCGATATCCGGTCTGAGTGCGACTTAATCATACTGCTGATCGGGAGGTTACAGGTTCGAAACTCCACGACGTAAGATCTGCACTGCTGATGATTCCAAATAAGGATGAGACAGATAAACAGTTTTTCTCCGTTTTCCAGTACAAAATCACTTCACTTACGAAAAGAACTCTCAAATGAAAATTACCGAATCCCCTCACACTAACAACAGTCTATGATTATCTCAGAGGATGAATAACTTTACAAGACGAGAGAAACTTCCACTCGGGCAGCCAGTCAACACGTGACTATGTGATGTGAATCCAGTGATTGAAAAGTGCGTGGCACTATATGCTGTCCAGGTGCGCGCTGATCACACAGTGGCCGAACAGTATAGCCTCATCTTCTAGCAGGAACTCGCGGGTTCAAATCTCCTGCGGAGCGCATTAGGTGTGTATTGCCGATGATTCTCAGTGAAAACGTTGCGCAGTACTTCTCGGATTTTCGATACAGACTAACTTAACCTGAAGGGCAAAATCTCGATTGAAAAATTTCTCACACTAGAATCGACCAAGTGGACAGCTGAAGGCACACCATAAACACGTGAAATCGGCCTGCAATGTTAACTGACGTACAGGTAAAATAGCTCCACCGGAATTTCAGTGGCATCATTCTTTGAGGACGATTGAGGTTTACCATCTTTGCCTATCTGAGACTGATCTTCGATTGGCGTTTCTGATACAGACCAAGAAGTCCACATACGCAGTAAATTCACAAGCGTAACTATGGTCTGGACTTTCACTTCCGGCAGAAAATTATCCACAAGCCGATAACCAAGCGTGTCCAAAAGGGTACTCAACAGGTTACATGACGACGATGCCGTTTTTGGTTCACTTGTGTCGGTCGCTTGGTTCGCAGCAGTACCCGGCAGCAGCTTCGGCAAAAGGCCTGAAATCAGGAGGAAAAAGCAATGAAGCTTAAATACGAATGGAGGGGGGAAAACTCAGAGCAATACAGCCACGTCGATGCAAAAGTTGAACGATCTATAAGAGACAACCAACGTACGGCATCCAACACCAACTTTGAGTGTAAAAAGGGAAGAATCAGCAGTGAGGTACTTTCCGTCTTAACGTGCTCGTGACCTACAACGTTTAACATGGATAGGGAATTAAACGTCCTAGTATTTTGATCAAATAGCTTATCACTGAGGAAACCGGTTGTGCAGCGGTTTCCCGCAAACTGAGAATAAACACGCAGAACCGCTCATGCTGGAAGCAATCCGTAGAGAACGTAGCACTCTGTATGCCAAACATCCTTTGTCATATGGTGGTGCAAAATGCATATAACCAATGTGGACAGAAAGAAAAACTCACTAAGAATGCGGCCGGTATTGCTCGGTTCAACTTCACGACAGGCCACGATGCGACACATGGTCTCGACAACTGCTGGAGTGGTAAGTTCGTCGGAATACTGAAGATTGGCGAACTTTTGAAGAAGTAGATGCAACACACTATAGAGATATAACAACGAAGGTTGGAATGAATTAACGAGCTGGTAGAGTACACCGTGCTCTAGATGAAGAGTGCGATCAGTTACTTTAACAAGAAAATCTACTGTATGTCACCATATCGAAATGAAAACTGGCGATGGAGAGAATACACTGAAACACCCTTGTAAACAGTAGTGGGAGCAACCGGAAATATCAACACAAAAAGACTGTTGTTTGAAATGCAGATTTTTATTACTGACATGTTGCTACAAGTGGCGGCCCCCGTCTTCTGGTACACTGCTAGGATACAGGCAAGTGGTAGTAATAAAAAGACAACCGCCTGAAATCTACAGTTCGCGTGAGCAAACCAAAGAACGGCTGTGAGATTTAAGCAAAAAGTATGGTAAGAAGGCAGAGTTGTACTGTGCTGGTGGGTTAGTGAGAAATGGGAGGACACTTTCTAGACGAGCAATTAGTCGAGACCTGTGTCCTTCGCGGTAGTACGGGAAGGGAGAAAACACTCAACCACGGCGTTTTTACAACGCTTTAACTTTGTGCTAATTTGACCTTATACGAGGACGTTCCGAACGATATATTGCGTTACACAAGCGAACGTCGGCAGCTCATTTGGTGGTCAAGCGGTTCCTAGAGCCGGGCAATCTTGTTACAAACTTTTTGTCACCACATCGGGCGACATTAGTGCGTCGTTGCGTAGTGGGTCGTTGGCGAGTTCGCGTCGGTTTACATATATCCTACAAGTGAAGATGACCTTCGGTCATGATTGGTTATTTCGGCGGATTGTCCTACTGTGTGGACCACCGGTTCATGTTCTGATAGGTCCGTGAGCAGATGACCTTTGAAAGTGACCTCTCTGATTTGTACTTGAGCTTCGTCCACTTGCTCCTCCGGCTATCTGTCGTCCGGCCCGTTTATCGCTTCGGTTAATTAGTCCATCGAATTGGTGATGCCTAACGCATAGAGCTGAGTATATTGTATCTCGTGCGGTTTGAGGGTTGAGTGAATTTGTTGTGAGGTACCATATTCCAAAAAATCTCTCACGTGCCTTCTACTGCAAAGTGTCGGACTCCACACGCCTTCCCAGTTGAAATTGTGAATTCATTGATCCTCATGTACGGAAACTAAAGTCATTCCTTCTCATGAACGTCTTGGGTTCGGTGATCGGTGTAGTTTGCTTCCGGCTTGTCCAATATGGTGCTTTTTCATTATTCAGCTGGTGAATGACATAGTCTTGGTTGCTTTCTTTGACTTTGTCAGTAGTAAACTCAACGATAGCAAAAACAGACAAATAAATGAAGTTCCCCTACACCAAAAATGCACCTTGAATCACCGTTGTGATCAATGAAGCGACACAAAACTAAATGCAACCTTAAAACAGATAACAAGACTGAAAGAACGCAACAGTAGACTGATGATGTGACATGACTTGGTGACAAGACGCCTGCGACAAAATTGCCACAACAAAATTACTACTCGACGACTAAATCTGATCATTTAAACCATGTCAATTGTGTTCTCCTAAAAAGCCCACACAAGATCCTTCATAACAAATGTCGAGATGATAGCTTCTATACGGTTATGATTAATTTACACATGAAAACAGTATTTAGTGTCAATAAAACTATCACAAACAATAAGGACTTTCTGAATAGCTTTTCAGTATGCCTCACACTATCGAGCAGGCCTAATTGAGGTCGGAAATGGGTCGATTTTCATTGTCACTGTCTCTGGAGGCCAGTCGCTGCTAATAACCGAACATCATGTAGATTAGACCCATGTGTCATGTGCGGGCTGTGGACTAAACAAAGGTATGCATTGATTGGTCAGAGTGTTAACTCATCTGGATCGAGCATCTATGGCTTCATGCTTCTCCCCCTTCGCGAAGATTCTAGCGCGACCTTGTGCAATATTCTCTGATGACCCTACAAATACAGCTGCAATAATCTTCCTTTGTCTCTATAAGGGGCTGTTTGAAGTTACCGTGCCTTTTGATATGCCATAGTGGGCGGAACAGAAGGGCAAGGAACGACACAGAAGCTGCACTACTGTCAGCAAGATCACACAATGTAAAACGCAAAGTTCACGATCAAATGGGCTAGACTTATTTTTAGAAGGTTTATCAGATTCAGGTATTATACAACCCTATGGTAAGACTACGAAATGAAACGACTTGCCACTTCAAGTATCGAACGGATTAACTGGTGTGGTATCAACAGATTCGGCTTCACTATTCTCTTCCAAATTATGCACAAACAACCAAAGATAGGAATAACAGTAAAACAGTGAGACGAACCACAAACAGCGTACACAATTTTAACTGAACATAACACCACGAATCTATAGGGATTTGAGCACCGAGAACGATCGGCTTAATTCTCCACCGATCGAAAAGTGTGCATGGATATGAAATAAACATTGTAAAACCAAAGTCCGGCTGAATGAATTCTCCGCATCCGTGAAAAACCGTACGTGATGCCCGCTGTATTTGGGTGCTACTGACGTTAGTCCTAAGAGAATCAAAATTTGCACAGCTGTTGTATACCACCTCAAACACAAGTGGTAGTTAGTGCACCGACTTGACACCGTCATCAAGCGCTACATAGTTAGTACGTCTCTTTCAACAGGCTTAACAGTGAACAGTGGTGTAAGTCATAAAGCTGAAAAAACAGAGGCGGAACTCACAGCATCCGTAGATGAATGGACATAGTACGAATAAGGTGATGTGATAAAGGTCGTAGGCGTCCATGTGCAACCAAACCGTAGGGCAAAATTACGGACCCATTCTCGACCAGTTTTGGCCACAGCCGGGAAAATGTGGACGGGTTACCAGGATCTTCCTCCCCATTGAACCAAAACATATCCACGAGATGTTGGATCAGTTGACTGGCCTCGTTATCCGTGCTGTCTGAAACAGTAAGAGACATGAGGAAAACGGTAAAAGCCGATCAGTCATGTGATGCCAGGACGGATCTCAGAGTTACCGACTGGGACTCTTGTTGGTGACAGGCACGTACACATCCAGAGTTTAAATCGGTTACTAGATTAGTTCTAATCAATAAATAAGTTTCTGGAACGAGGAAAGCTCAGCGAAGCAGGTAACCGATAGCAACACTTACACGCATTGAGAATGATGAACAACTGCCGCCAGGTCAACTGTGCTAACACCGGAGAAATGGATCTCGTCGGGTCTGTGCTCACGATGACATCCAAGAGGATTCGCATTCGGTAGGAAATACGGGCTTCAGTAGGTCTCAGCGCTGGAGGCATAACACGCGGTAGATGATCGTGACCAGTGCGGCTTTTTCGTAATACATGCTGCCACAGACAAACTGGGGAAGTGGCCAGATGCATCAGACGACAATGACGTCGACGACTGGCAGCTGTGCGATGCCTTGTGGGAGGAAGGATTGCTGAACGAGTTTTAAAGAAAACGTTATAAGAAATTAACATCTCCACTGTTCCTGCGCTAAGTATAGCATGAACTAGGCTAATGATGAACAAGTTGTCCACATGACGCTGGAATCCGAAAAAGGAATAAATGCGCGCCCCCCATCAGCCAGTCACGCGTTAGGGGTTACATGTAAACAGAAACAAGCGACTGACAGGATCTGTTAAGGGTTGGTTTAACGTTTACAATGACTGAGTAATACCATCGACATTTTGGCGAATGGTGCTTGCCGAATCTCTACGTAAAATGTGGTAAGAATACAGTGAAATCCATGACCCACAACTAAAACTACGGAACAAATTAACTTTTACGGACGCCTGATCAAATTGAAATCCGTAAGTCCGGTTGGTCGAATTATTTGAACTTGCAGATTAGACCTTCGTCATAGAATCTTCGGACCACTTCCATGGTCAAAAAACCACAAATCAGTTAGCAAGAAAAAATCGCGGGGACTTTCAATGCCGATAAGAGACATCGTGTAGCTCCAGTTAAGCACAAGATCCGGCGTTGATAACAAGAAGAGATCAGCTTACCAAGGGAGCTTGCGTCATCAGATTCTTCGGCAGATGTACTACTCAAGTAAACCTCGTCGCCGGAATCGGTATCACACTCCATTCCGGTATCTTTTGTGTTAGTTGTGACGTTCTCTTCATCTCCCCCACGTCCAGGCCTAGACGCGTCGCTATCACTATCATCTTTCGCTGGAATGAGAGTCACGTCGGCATCTGATGTGCCATCAGGCTGGCGTCGATCGGTTTGCTTTCCACAGCCAAGAGTTTGTAACTCCACAGCACGGTCAGGATCTTCGGCATCAGGAAACAAGATATCAAACAACCGGAGGCATGGAACGAAATCCGTCAGCTGTAGCGGGAAACGAAATTTTGTTATATGAAATACTGTACACTGCGTTGGAAAACTAGGTCAGACCACGTCAAATCCTGAACGCGTATCGCGAATTTTTATTGAATCAATGGAACAACGATTAACGGCGGGAAAAGAACCTACCGGTTAGTAGAGGATGGCTGACATTACACGATGAACTCGCGTGTGTACGATGCTATTGACTCATTGATGCTATGAACTCAAGATATTCAATTTGAAATCAATGATAGTTATTTGAAATCAAGATAGTTATGGAAAGCAAAATCTGCTGACTGTATGTAAGCGCATTCAAAATGACGTCACGCCTGGTTAAACTGTGAAAGCAAAGTAGTATATAGGACGGGAATGTCGCGAGAGGACTAATGTTCAAAAGATTTACTTCCGAGGGAACGATTTGGGAGTGGGAATATCAGTTTATCAACCGATGCTTCGATTGAGAAAGAAAAGACACCAAAAGCAGTTGAGAGACAGTCGGAAACAAACTGAATAATTACCAATGGGAGTCGAAAGCTGTCTGACTAATCCTTCGGAATTGCTTTAAAAGACCGACAGCAATAAAAGGTCTGGGAAGGCCAAAAGAGGTCGGCGGATCGGATTCAGTAAGATGAGTCTATCATAGCTGGGAGGGAGAATATAAACATTCGGCGCGCTCGAAGTGGAACATCCCCAAAATCAAGAATCTCTATCCATCCGATTCCCAAATGGTCAGCCCGGTTACGGCTGGATATGCAACAGACCGCAGAACCGTGTTTAGCACGGAAAACAAAGTCACATTTAAAAACATCAAGGAGCGAAATCCGTGGACCGGAGGCATATCGAGCGCCTCGGACTGTTGGGTTGCATGGCTATATGGTGTATGACGCACGTCTAACTCGAGTCAAATGAAGGGTAACCGTAGAATCTTATGTCATGTCAGTCTGAAATGTGACATGGCGACTAGATGGTTTAGGGGTTGTGCTTCCACCTTTGATTGATTCCACGCTTTGTGACAAACACCACATAACACCGGCGTTTTACACGAACTACTTGGAACAGTTATAAGCAGCATGATTCTAAATGACCTATCGAGCTACCTCCCTCGCATACTAATTACCACGTACAACTTCATTCTAGTTTCCAGCTGAATCGTCTTCAACTTATAGGCATATCCTAAAAGAAACGGTTGACAATGCTTATCGTCATCACCATTCATCATTATCAGCTGTAAGGACCACGTACATGTCACACAGTGGTTGTAGCTAGTTTCGTTCACCGATGATTTGGGGAGATGAAGTGGATAGCTGCGCAATGGAAGCGGTAGCCAGTATAATTGGCGCGTAAATACAGGATTGTCTTTGAGCTTTTAAGGGGGGAGATTGGGAACGGAGCTGTGCATTGAAGGCAATAGTTTGGATGCACGAGTACCATTGAGGGCGCTATGTCTAAGCACTGATGTGCCTCGTCTCGGAGTCCCCATCCAAGGAGACGGCAATGACCAGCGCAGCTGAGTTTGCTAGTATTAGTTTTCATACTTCGCTGCCAAGTATTGCTTGACCTCCCCTGGCTCGGTTCAACCCTTCACGTGATTGCGTAGAAAGAACCCTTCGAGGAAGTCGGTCGACTGGCGTACGCAGCACGTAGCCATGCCAGCGGTGTGATCAGTTCATATATCGTAGATGAGTTGTTTCTTCCAAAAGCCATTCGACGTACTTCAGCATTACTGATCCGGTGTTCCCACCAGACTCGGGCAATGACATCGATGGTCAAACATCGAAAGTCTTTTGATATCCTCGGCCCGCAGCGGCCACGTTTCTTATTCGTATAAGTGTGGAGCACACTGTGGTATTGTAAACTGGACCATTGACGGATAATCTAGTGTCACACCTACGCCACAGGTGATGCAGAATCACAAAAGCTGGTGTGGCCTTCCAAATCCAGATGAAAATACCATCTTTCGCGAGAGCGGCCACGTTATTCGTATAAGTGTGGAGCACACTGTGGTATTGTAAACTGGACCATTGACGGATAATCTAGTGTCACACCTACGCCACCCACAATGCAGAATCACAAAAGCTGGTGTGGCCTTCCAAATCCAGATGAAAATACCATCTTTCGCGAGACTACCGGGAATGATTCAGATTCCCAGATAAACAAACTTGTTTACTACCTCATCCGCAAGCATAATGTTAAGGTTTGAGCCCACCCAGTCTAGCAGTAGAGCTTTACACTTTGCAGGTGTGAAGCATAGGTCAAATCGTAAGGCAGAATTATTTAGATTATTTAATATTGTTTGCAGGACTACGGTGTCAGAAGAGAAAAGAGCCAGCTGATATTAAGTCAGAAAGGCCGAAAACATGATTCACTAAAAGTTAGTTGAATGGTGTGCCTGCCTTAATGACATGAGACGTTTTCGCTGTGGGGTCAAATCAGCCATCTAGAGAAACGGAAAGTCTTATCATCTGGAGCGTCAACACGGAGGAATGTCCCGCATCAACGGAGTCGTCCCTTGAATGGATAGTCTCTTTGTGGAGGAACTAGTGCATCTCCTTCCTCCCTTCTCTACCTCTCTCCTCGCCCCTTTCTCACGCCTCTGGAAAAACCAACCGCCATCTTTCTTTGTTCACTCCCCACATTGAAGTACAAAAACAATGATTCAATATCGAACATGCATAAACATAGTCTAATTGAAAAGTCTCAAATATTAATATTGTCCCGACGAACACACTCATTAGCGTATCAATTTTTGACAGGTGACTCACCTGAAGCCCAGCTAAATCTCTCGTTTACGATGAGTGTATTGCGCTTATTAATATCCTAGGTTTGTTCATAACATAATACGCCTCCAATCCAAGCTTGAAACACACCCGGACACCCCTAAGAGTACTCCAAAAGGATATGGCGCAAGGAACAGCAAAGATATTTGCATCAAGGTATCAGGCTAGCTCCGTTAGCACCTCATGCTCCTACACGCTTGTGTATGCTATCCCAAAAGAGAAACGGCACAACTTAGTTATCTGAGCACATATATAAGCACTTTAATTCTTAGGACTTCACGCTGACGCGTCAGAGACTTAGACAAGCTAAGTTAACAAACGCTAGTCAATGAGGCTGTTACGCCTAAGCTCCCAGGTATTCACTTTTACCACACACACTGCCAAGCCATATGGATGAAAGAATGTGAGATCCTACAGCCAAAAAAATTTGAAATAGTTCCAAAATTACTTGATAATTTCCGTTGGATTCGAACATCGAGTATGCGGAACATCATTCACCTTACCAAAGTGTCTTACGAACAGAAATTCTTTTCGGAAGTCACACAGTATGAAGTACTCACCATATTCTTTCCGATAAACCCCGAGGTGACGTTCAAGACAAACCACATCACATAATGGCTTGATTTAGTCCATTTTCGGCCCTCCAACTGAAAAAGGACAATTTAACAATCAGTTGCGGGATATACAGCAATGTACCGGGAATGATTCAGATTCCCAGATAAACAAACTTGTTTACTACCTCATCCGCAAGCATAATGTTAAGGTTTGAGCCCACCCAGTCTAGCAGTAGAGCTTTACACTTTGCAGGTGTGAAGCATAGGTCAAATCGTAAGGCAGAATTATTTAGATTATTTAATATTGTTTGCAGGACTACGGTGTCAGAAGAGAAAAGAGCCAGCTGATATTAAGTCAGAAAGGCCGAAAACATGATTCACTAAAAGTTAGTTGAATGGTGTGCCTGCCTTAATGACATGAGACGTTTTCGCTGTGGGGTCAAATCAGCCATCTAGAGAAACGGAAAGTCTTATCATCTGGAGCGTCAACACGGAGGAATGTCCCGCATCAACGGAGTCGTCCCTTGAATGGATAGTCTCTTTGTGGAGGAACTAGTGCATCTCCTTCCTCCCTTCTCTACCTCTCTCCTCGCCCCTTTCTCACGCCTCTGGAAAAACCAACCGCCATCTTTCTTTGTTCACTCCCCACATTGAAGTACAAAAACAATGATTCAATATCGAACATGCATAAACATAGTCTAATTGAAAAGTCTCAAATATTAATATTGTCCCGACGAACACACTCATTAGCGTATCAATTTTTGACAGGTGACTCACCTGAAGCCCAGCTAAATCTCTCGTTTACGATGAGTGTATTGCGCTTATTAATATCCTAGGTTTGTTCATAACATAATACGCCTCCAATCCAAGCTTGAAACACACCCGGACACCCCTAAGAGTACTCCAAAAGGATATGGCGCAAGGAACAGCAAAGATATTTGCATCAAGGTATCAGGCTAGCTCCGTTAGCACCTCATGCTCCTACACGCTTGTGTATGCTATCCCAAAAGAGAAACGGCACAACTTAGTTATCTGAGCACATATATAAGCACTTTAATTCTTAGGACTTCACGCTGACGCGTCAGAGACTTAGACAAGCTAAGTTAACAAACGCTAGTCAATGAGGCTGTTACGCCTAAGCTCCCAGGTATTCACTTTTACCACACACACTGCCAAGCCATATGGATGAAAGAATGTGAGATCCTACAGCCAAAAAAATTTGAAATAGTTCCAAAATTACTTGATAATTTCCGTTGGATTCGAACATCGAGTATGCGGAACATCATTCACCTTACCAAAGTGTCTTACGAACAGAAATTCTTTTCGGAAGTCACACAGTATGAAGTACTCACCATATTCTTTCCGATAAACCCCGAGGTGACGTTCAAGACAAACCACATCACATAATGGCTTGATTTAGTCCATTTTCGGCCCTCCAACTGAAAAAGGACAATTTAACAATCAGTTGCGGGATATACAGCAATGCACTTACATCGATATTTCCTGAGTAGTTCTCCCCTTATCATGTTGGGGCTATTCCGTTTAGTCGACATTGGACGGGGTACAGGGGGTTGACAAGAATACTCGCTTCAGAACAAGGGAATCGTTACAACAATAATAACATTTAACAATCAGTATTCATGTGAGTTTTAAGGTAATGCAGTGATTCCTTACAAGAGTGAGAGGCATAATCAAAGACAGCAGTGCACCAGTGGCAGATACTGTGCTCAACCGTGTAACTGTAAGCTGTAGCAACAGGCACGGGTCGTTTCGTGTTAGCTCTTCGAGGGCGGGATCAGGGGTGCAGCTCCCCTGCATTGCAAAGAAAGATACGATGGCGCTGTGCCTTCCGCATCCCAAAGGCACTCACTTTATGAGATTGAGCCATCGAAAAATCCTCGTGTAAAAGTAAAAAATGAAAAAGTGGATGAAAGCAGAGTGGAATGGGTCGACCGGAAGTACAAAGGAAACAACACCGCATGTGACAGATAGAGTTGCCTTACTTTGGTGTTCAACTTGACAACAATTTCACTGAACCGAATGGTGCTGCTCAACATGAAGGTAATAACCACGCTTATTAGGTGCTCAAAAGTTGTGCGCACCCAAGTCCGATCGTCCGTGGACTCAGTGATCTCCATCAGCTCAATAATCCAATCGACTATCGCTTTCTCAAGACCGATGGAACGTGTCTTCTGAAGACGAAAAGACAAAATTTCAAAGTTAATCACTGTACAAATAGTTCACATGAAAACAGATGGACAACAGTCACGTACCGATTTCCCTGTGGATGGGTCCAGCATTCCGGCCACCAGTTCCGTGCAGCGCAACTGACCCAAAACGAAGCATAAGAGTTGAGTTTGCGAACTTGTTAAGAAGTCTGGATACCGCATGGCTCCTTTGACCACAGTGAGAAGCAAGTTGGTTGAGTCCAGGCGGAAACCAGGAGTGGTCGGTGGTGTGATGCCGCAAATAGGCTTGATAGACTGATGAACTATGAAGAAATGGTGAAGATTATTCAAACGTGTGAGTCCACTTGGGAATCAGCTACGAGTCTCAGTATGGATGGAGAGGAAAGGTTTCTAGCGCACTCAGTATAGGCTTTGTACGAATTTGGACAAAAAAGAGGAATAAGTACTTCCAAGTTTTATGTGCTATTTCACCAATATAGCTCCAGCTAAAGGTTCTAGCAGTTTTACTAAACAACACCTAGAAAGGGAGTGCGAGTCGAAGTGTGTAACATCGGATTATCAAGCGAAACGCAGAAGGCTCAGAACATAGCACAACATATTCCAGGGTAATCCCGAATTGTTTTGCAATGTCAAATGAAATATGAGAGGATGAGGTGTAGTTAATGAAAAGAAAAATTCTGAGACGTACTTCATTTAAATAAGCAACACAAGTCACCAAGCTTCTTGGTTCAAGGTAGACGTTTTTCTAAACAGTTCATCGGGTTTTGATATGACAGGCTACATCTGAATAAGACCTCCACTGTCGGTTGTTGGTTACAGTGCGACTGGATAATACCCAGAAATGTTTTTCTGAAATCGTCTATATGAGTTTAACTGCACAAAGGCGATATTCATTCGGTCACTCTTCCTGAAATTCCCCCAAAAGAGTACTATATTCTGACTCCTGCTGGCAGAGGTGGCTGACTGTTGTGCTAAACAGCGTCCTCAGCGCATGACGAAACACGGTCGTGGTATGAGGGATGATAAACCATGCACAGAAGTCAAAAGATAACGTGGAAAGATGAACACAAACCACAGTCTAAAAGTCTTCGTATGTTACAGGAACACTGCAAAGGCAAGAACAAAGCAGGCAAGTACACATGAAGTGATTTGTAAAAGAACCTTCAGGGGAGATAACACTCGATGAGATATTACTTGACAGTTAGCACAGCCGACTGATAGTACGAAGCGAAACCTGAACTAAATACCCGATACCGAGGAAAATTCACGACCCAAGTATATAACGAACATAAATCGAGTACAGCTAACTGCTCGTTCTCACGATTAAAGCTCAATAACCCCTATGTCACATCTTCGAATGTGAGGATACGTATTTTAATAGTTCAATGCCGCGGGCACAGAACTGCGACGTCGCAAGGGTGAAGGGGGCCGATTCCTGCGTAGACTGAGTGTGCTATAAAACGTCGCCATACTAATTTGAAAGCAAACGGGCAGCATAATACTTACTTTGTGAATATAGCAGACGGGCAGGTCGTGCGAAACTGTCCATAAAAGAAGTAACGCTGTCTTGAATAGCCTGAAACAATGGGATGCCAGATTCAGTTCATTACTTTATGGGGTGAACCACTCAGTTCGACAGGAAAGCTTCGGATCAATTCGTGCATAGCAAAATAAGCAGGCATGAGGCACATTTCCCGAGAAAGCAAAAGTTGTATGAGCTGGAAAGAAAGTCGATGTTGGGAAACAAAGATCTACTTCAACCGCCGGATCAATGAACCGAAGATTGAATCGGTCGTCCACAGGCGAATCAATAAACTGTGACGACTTCTCAATGCTTTTATTAAACACTTCGCGATTGCTCTGAAAGAACTGAGTGGTAGGAAATCTCCGATAACCAACCTTATAGTCTAGAAAGAAGATGAGTTTCAATAAAAGTTTGAAAGCACATCGAAAAAACGCTGCGGATTCTACGCGCAGCTGATCTGAACAAACCAGGGAGTGAGCGACTTCCCTAAAAAATAAAAGTTAGGGGACGAGGAAATCCAAGGCACCTAGGGTGGAACACCTGTTTTTCTATCAACAAATCGAGACCCCACAAAATACGCATTATTACTCGCTCATGATTGTTATTAGCCAACTTGCTGAAAAGATGGTCCAGAGCATGCAGTTTCTGCAGGAAAAATGCGGACAGGTTTTACAGGACTGACGATTTTCTGTTGAGCAATACTTTTCCACAGAGCTTCCATACGAATAACATCCATTGACAGAAGACTTTCACCACCATCCGCCATAAGTCCGCCTAAAGATTCTTCCAAAGCAACAGACGTCTGATACAGCAAGAAAGGATAAGAAGATTAGACACGACCTACTGCTATTTCCTTCACAAATCTATCCACCGAAGCGAAGGAGTCACGCGCGAGCGCGGCTTCAAGCGGACCCATGAAGAAGGAATCAGTTAAGCTAAAAACATAAAGATGCACACGAATTAAAGGAATCCACGTAGATGTGCGTTTGCATACGCCACAATTCGTTAGTGAATGACTAGCGACAAAAAATATACCAAAGGTTTTTTCCACATCGATGTTTGCGCTGCAAAAAGGCTTTCACTATTGCATGTGCTTGACGTGACCCCTGTCTAGGCTTGGGCAACCTGGAAGTATCCAAGCCCTCGTGCTTCCTTCGGGTGGCATGGCAGCTAGGCACCGAAAGGGTGCTACAGCTGAACGCTTTTAAAAACATCTTTGCCGTCGACACATCGAAATCAGTGTTGAACAGCTACACTTAACTGTTGGACAAGTATACTTCATTTTAAAGCCTTATTGTGAAGGGCGGGGGAGGTATCTAATGATACCCTGCACGATGCATGCTGAGGATCCTAAACCTTCAGGTGCACATTAGCAAGTTTCGAAAATGAGGCCTTCGTTCACACTTATTCCCCTTCATATCACGATACTGACCTCAATTGATATAAACATTGCAGGTTTTCAATCTATGTACCTCAAGGCCAGTGTTCCACAAATATTTCTGCTAAGTCTGCAGGTTTCCTGATAGTATTGGGGTACCCCAATTTCTCCTATGGAATGCTAACTGCGAAGCCGTGCTACGGCAATATTCCATCCCTAGACGGTGCACTGTCGCTGATTTCACCGTACACAACACTGATTAGCTTGCTCACTCGACACACTCAGACTTGGCAGACCGGCAGGAAGTTTTTACAACTACCGCAATACAATCCCAGGCCGTCTTCGAAGTCCACTTCCGAACTGCGATGGTAGCTCACAATAGATCCTCAACCTCTTCTCAGCTAGCCATTCTGAATAATGTTGTCAGGTCCTGCGCCTCAAAAGTACCTTCCGATCAACCACCTCATTACCTGCAACCAGTCACTTCAGCCCATTTCACCTATGCTTCCGCCTCGGGTGTTTCTGGCAGCGCGTTTCAGCTGTTTGAGATATTGTTCACCAACTTTTTCTCTTTTTATCAATGGAATGTTTTATCCCAAGTGAGAACATTACTCATGCTCTTCATGACGCATGCTGAAGTTCATCCCTCACCACTTTATAACCTCTATTCAGTGGTCAAATCATATCTACCTTAGCGCGGTGCAAAGATTCGAGTATATAAATACTGGAGAATGCAGATCTTTCCAGACGCCCGTCACAGCTTGGTGGTTGCTCGTAGCGCCTGCTTTTCTAAACTGCATAAGACCAAAGATGTTCGTTAACCACAAGGCTGACGAGCTATTTGGTGCATTCGTTGGGAGGTAATTCTTTTGAAAACTTGCAATAGCCGTCGTCCAAAATTTTTGTTAACCGAAATTTCCACCTATTTTCGAATCCCATGGAATCACTAAAACTTGGTCACTGTAAATCTTCTTCAATATTATACTTCAAGAGTGATGGCCCAGCGGTGAGAGCACGAATTTACTGGCCGGAAGAACCGTGGTTCGAACCCAACTTCTACATATCGACTTCTCCTGTCTAGGTTATGCAACATTGCAGCATCCCAGCCCTCGTGCTTCCTTCGAGTAGTATGGCAGCTACGCACCGAAAAACTGCTACAGCTGAACGACTTTTTTCAACATTTTCCCTGTTCCAGTTCGTCCACTATTGCTTACTCACCATTACCATCAGGAATATTTTCACCAGTCCCTTCTTTTCTTTCCTCTGGGGCCTCTCGATTCGGATCACCTCCCATTCCTTTCGATCTGATTCTGCGACCAATGACTAGTTCTTATCACTGTCCGTCTATTGCGGCCATCCAAAAAATAGTGTTTTTCTGTTTCTAACAGAACTCCTCTAAACATGGATTCTTTTCCGACTCGGACAAGCATTGTCCCATTCCAAACAGTCCTACCTTGCCCAAATTTCTTGAGTTCATCACTGCGACATATAAAGTGAAGACTTTTTAGGCGACCAACAATACGATTTAGGAGGCCATTATTCTATCGATGTCCTGTTGTCATGTCTTTCAGATCTGATTCAGTGAAACTGAACAGACTTCTGATTGTGTATTCCGCGATTGCCTTCCTGCCAAACTACCCGCGTACCGGGCGAGATGGCTCAGTGGTAAGAGCGCGAATTTCCTAACCGGAAGGTTCGTGGTTCGAACCCGACCACTACATTTCGACTTCTCCTGTCTAGGTTTGGGCAACCTGCCAGTANACTCGTGCTTACTTCGGGTGGCATGGCAGCTAGGCAACAAGAGGTTGTTACAGCTGAATGACTATTTTTATTACCCGCGTAGGACATGCACCCCCTCCTGAATACGGATTGGGATTTTCCTCATAAATGGGTCCTGACAGGATAGCGCTTTCTCAAAACCACAGCATCAACGCTGAATTGTTGTAGGGACGCGTTCAATCCTCAGCATTTTTCTCTTGTGCGTAAAAGGGCTACTTTCACCCGTCGATATTGGCGAATAAAAAAGATAATCGTTCAGCTGCAACGACCCTTTCGGTGCCTAGCTGCCATGTCACCTGAAGGAAACACGAGGGCTTGGATACTTCCAGGTTGCCCAAGCCTAGACAGGGGAAGTCGAGAGGCATAGGTTGGGTTCGAACCACGGATCTTCCGGTCAGCAAATTCGCGCCCTAACCACTTGAGCCATCTCGCGTACAAATCGCTTAGCAACTGAGACACCAGCAGATCTGGATGTTGGGCGAAGTTACCAGAATGGTCTTATAGTCTCTCAGAATTCTGCACCATCAGATGTGAATTCACACTGGAAGGAGATCGTCACCTTTTTTGCACAGTGCCTGGAGTTTTGCTTGTGGCACAGCCCTACCAGGCTCACCCAAGCTGAACAGTGGCACTGCTTGAATCTCGGAGAAATATCCCAGCCAAGCCAGAACATAACTTGACCAGACGAAATATCAGAAGTCGAGTAAAACTGGGTACATGCGCCGATCGTTTAGTCGACATAAAAATCCAAGGAAATCCAAGAAGCCCAGTGTTATGGTCTCAATGATGTACCAGTCTGACTAGTCAGTTTACCGAAATGGACAAGACAAACGGCTTTGACGAAGTGGTGCTGCAAACAAGTGGATCGTTCCGTGATATGGAACTCAAGTGAACCGGAATATAAAACGAGCCAATAGTTCAACAGGATGTCAGTAAGAGGCTGAAATGTAGAAAGCTTTCACCATATAAGGAAATTAACCAGCAGGGTGGATTTGTTCATTTGGGGGCAGTCTTACTAACAGCTCTTCTTTAAAGTACTCGATCTTAAGACTGTTGTGAACTGAGTTGGATTGGTATGGCGGACCTCCGTATTTGAACCGTCCATCTTCTAGGTGCACGACATTTGAAACTTCAGCTCGGGAAATTCAGGCTTTTGAGCTTATTCAAATGTGTCGAGAAGAATCTCATGTGGAAAAACATGAACTGGTGTAGCTGTTGCTGCAAGAGAAGAACAGCGTAGCTAATTCGCATGACGGACCCAGATAGAGGAGCTCACGTCTACCTCAGACAACTTTTCCAGCATGACGCTTAATTGTAACTTCCGTCTATTGTTCCACGTCACCACGGTGCTCTTTTGCTAGCACAGATTGACCAGGTATAAATATGTTGCTTACAGCACCGTGGTGCCGGTTGAACCTTTCACGGTTCAACTAGTATTTTCCGATTTTTCACTTTTGTGACCCGTGAGGAGTTCATGAAAGGATCCGTAGGATTTTAATGATAAATAGAACCTTAAGTTGGTTTATATGCACTGCAAGAGCTTCCTGAATGTTTGTTCCAGTCGCATTCAGTCTTTGCCAACGGTGTGTTTTTTAAATACAATTCCCGGCGACTCACACGGTCTCTACATGCATGTGATGCGAGTGTTGTTGGCGCCAAACAACGATAGCTAAAGCGCCATTCAGCGACTATGTAGAACTATACAGTCGAAAATGAAGTGTTTATCGTGCAGGTTCAATTAGTATGGGACGAACTAACAAGAAATTTTCTACGAGGTTGTGGTAATAGCATCAACCGTTGAAATGCCAAAATTATCGCACTGTGACGTTGTCATATTCTTTCCCCTGTTCGAGAACGGGCTTAAGATCAGGCTCCGTCGAACTACTCAGAAAGCAAACCGGTCCGGGTGTCAGCAACCGCCTCAAACGGAGGCGATGAGGCCGCAAGAAACCGAGCCGCCTCATTGGTGTAATTGCCCATGGAGGTGTGGCGGTGACACTAGAACGGTTTGCAGCAAATATGAAATATGTCGTATAGCTGACACCAAATAAACTAGTTAGGCGCAACTGGATAATTGTGCCCGACCTGCCACCAAAATTATTACTTCTTGGTGCCATAATTGTGCCCTGCCACCAAAATTATTACTTCTTGGTGCCACCACCCAGCGCTCATGGCCTCGCAGAGACACTCTTCCGGTTAAACCACTCACTCACGCCCAAGGATCCAGAAAGGCGAAAGCTTGCAGCAAACCTTTGATCAACAGCAAATGTGGTCGACGAAAAAGGGATGCTGAGAGAGCTACAAACAGCATCGGTCGAAATTTCCGCCCAAGGGGAAAAAACTCCGTCCCCCAGAGCCAAAAAGCCCGAGCAACCCGAGCTCTCACGGAACGAAAAAGACCCCGCAGGCGAAAAGCACCCCCAGA